AACTGTGGGCTTGTCAGGCATGGCAGCGTTGCCTTCTTGGCTCCCTGCAGGCCCCCCTGGGCCCAATGTCACGGCATCTCACGGTCTTGTCCCTTGATCTGCATAGGGTCCCTCTAGAACTGGTGTTCTTGGTTTATCTTGTTTTGCTTTGTTGTTCAGGGCTGAAAATTGAACCCAAGATCGGCTCACTGAGCAACATCCTCAGCCCTTTAAAATTTTTTAAAATTTTGAGACAGGGTCTTAAGTGTTTAACTTGCCCCAGGTTGGGCTTGAACTTGTAGTCCTCCCACCTCAGCCTCCCAGAGTGCTGGGATTAGACACCCACGCATCAGAGAGGACACTTCAGGCTTGTGAGGTACAGCAGAGCCCTGGCTGTGGCTTTCTGGGACCCACTTGGGTAAGCGCTCGGGTGGCACTGCTGTCATTGCCGTGTCACTTAATTCACTGTGAAGGCAGGAGGTGACTTCTCTCCGTCCCCTCCAGTCCTCCTGCTCGCACCCCTGCATTGCCTGCTGATCCCCTCAGCCCTGACTTTTGTAGTGGAGGTCCTGCTGCTGTCCTTAGCCACCGTGGGCTAGGCCTGGGCCTGTCTGCTGTACCACGTCTCTGGAGGGCCTGAAGCTGCTTTTTGAAGGATGAAGATGGATTGTTAGACAAAGTGAGAGGCTGGGAATAGGAGGGACCAGAGGAAGGAACTGCACATCCCTGGGCTTGGAATGTGGCCTGAAGTAAGGCGTGGGGGCTGGGCGGAAGGGTGTGGCCTAGCTCGAGGGGCGTGGCCAAGGTCAGGGGGCTGGCCAAGATCGAGGGGTGTGGCCCAGCTGGGGATATCTATGGCTTCGCTGGGTCCAGGGTCAACTGGGAGTGTGAGATTGAGATACCAGCAGGCCAGGCAGTAAGCCCAGTCGTGACAAGGACTCTGCTGAGGACAGGCAGAGGTAGTGGTGAGGTGACCAAAGTATGACCAGCGCAAGAAGTGCCTTAGTAACCTTCAGAAGCTCTGTCCAGGTGGTGGGAGGCACTAACCATCCTGCGTGTGGCCCAAGGTTGACATCTTGGGTAGAGCACAGCTGACTCTGAGAAGTGGGCTAAACGGGGTCTGACATAGATGGACTGGGCTCTGCCTGGCTCTTTGCTGCCTTTTGTCCTCTGCCACGTGAGTAACTGAGTACTCACGACCAACCCAACCGTCTGCCCCACTCTGCCACCAGAGCCCAGTGGCCTTAGGCTTGCTCCTCCCAATAAGATTAAGAGTATCAGTAATAGGGTCTCCTGTGTAGTTTAAGGGTCTCCTCCAGCTGGGCCGAGTTGTGACCACCTAAGACAACCCACAGAGCAAGCTGGCTGCTGGGAACAGGACCACTTGTGCTCTGGTCTCCCCTTTGGGGTCCACACACAGTGGGTCACCCAGCAGTACTCCTGCCCTGTCCATGAAGCCCCTCTCAGCCTGACCTTGGAAGCCACCTTGCACAGCAGGTGGGGCCTGGGGCCTGGGAGCCGAGCTGTCCTAGCAACTCCCATCCTGCCTTGGGTGGAGCAGCCTGGAAGGCTGAGGGTGGAGGGCAGGGGCCCGGAGGACTTGGGGCTGACCCGATATAGACCCTTTTTGTTAAGGAGAGAGCCGAGAGAAGAAGGTAGAAACAGCACTGCAGAGGGGCACAGTGGAGAAAAGTTGCTCACATGGTGGTGGCCAGGAAGCTGAGAGAGAAAGGAGGCAGGCGTGAGAACGCAGCCTCCCAGGTCCGCCTTTGTGACCACCTCCAGCCAGGCCCCTCTCAACTGCACTTGGCTTGAGCTCATCAATGACAAGCTTGTGGAGCAGTGTGGTGCCCCGTGCAGCAGTCACCTTCCGCACACAGGAGACTTTGGAGCGACGCCTTAGATCTAAAGCATGACACCACATCTTAGCAAGGAACACTGAGGCCCAGGGCAGGCCAGGGCTTCATCTGGTCAAGGAACAGAGGGCAAGATTGGCTCCGCCAGCACTGTTTCCATGTTTTCACTGCTCTGATGAATAATTAGAGAAAATTGAACAAACAAGCTTTAATTGCCTGTCAGTGACAGATGCCAGGGCAGCCGTAAACCCAGCTGGATCCACAGCGCCTGCTGGGCTGGGGTCCTGGGAGTCCGTGCTGGCTGGGGAGCTGGAGCCCCCAACCACCACACCCATCAGCAGCCAAGTGGCCCTTCACCTGCCAAGCAGGGTGCCCGATGCCAGAGCAGACTGGGCATAGGACCAGGACCCCTCCAGAAACGAGTCCCACAAGGACCTGAGGCACCTCCCCCAGGACACCCACTCATCCTGTTTGTTGCCATAGACCCTGGAATGCGCCCCGAAAGACTTCAAGAACGTGTGCTTTGCGCACCGCGTGCAGGGGGCTGGGCTTCTAACTTCCAAGGCCTCTGTGTGTACCATGACCTTATCCTAACCCTTCCTGTTGCCCACCCCCCCGGGGGGGGGGTCGGGGAGCTAAAGCTTAAGTTGCGAAGTCACTGTGTCATCATCTTCTGGGGCAGCCCAGAGGACAGAGTTGTAGGGAGGCCCACCGTCCACACTGGTCCACACTGTGGACAGCTGCCCTGCCAGTACTTGCTCAGGATACCCTGGAGTCTGCAGGGGTTGGGGGGGTGGCTGCAGTGGGCTGAGAGGGTGAGTGGATAGAGGGGTGAAGGACCACAGGAGGGGTGGTGCGTTAGTCAGTTTTTGCCGTTGGACCTGACAGCCACCAATTAAAAGAAGAGAGGTTTGCTTTGGCTCCTGGTTTTGGAGGTTTCAATGCATGGTCAGCTGGTTCCAGGGCGGGAGCACCGAGGCTGAGGGCTGTGGCAGAGGAAAGTTGCTCACCTGTCGCACCGCCCGGGGGAGAGGCAGCGGACGACACCAAGGACCAGATACAGTCACATCCCCACTACTGCCCGGACACCCACAACTGTGCTCTGCCAATCTCCTTCGCAACTCAAGCCAATCAAGAAGGAGGTTGGGACAGTCCCGGGGCAAGGGGCCCTGCCCTTCCCCTAGTCTTTATCAGCCCAGGAACCCTCCACTGCTGGACTTTAAGAAGGAGACCCCAAAAGCCCTGGGAGTCTTATCTGTCTCACGGCCAGGTGACAGCCCCATGGAAGCTAGTGTCTGGGGGCCTAGCTGTTTTGCCAGTGGCCTCCCCAGGCGTCAGTGCCCAGGACTTTCTCCTTGTCATCAGCAGGTTCCTGTCCCCTGAACAGACCCCACTCCGCTCTGCCAAAGCTCCCCCAGCTCCAGAAGAGCCCAGACTCTTACCTCCCCAGCTCTGGGTTTGTTGGGGCTAGGGCCCAGCCATATTCCACCTCCCATCCCACCCGGACATCTGTTTGCATCTTACTGTGTGTAACTTGTGTCACCTGTCCCTGGGGCCTCCTGGGGCCTTTCTCTTGGCTGTGTGGACTTCACCCTTTGCTGTCTTCAATCCTGTTCCCGAGACACTGGAGGGCAACAAATGTGCTCTGCTGCCCGTCAAACAAGGCCCAGTGTCAGACCACTGTGTACATTCTTGGAGTGATGTAGGTGCTGAGGGCTTAGGCTCTGCTTTAATCGGTTTTCTGCACTGGGATTGCTGACAAGCTTTTGTGGAGAGGGGAAAGAGAGTTCTGTTCCTAAAAAATGCTACAAACCACTAACTTGGCACAGCCCAGGTACACAGAAAGGAGGTTAAGGGGTGCTGCCAGCTCACAGGGTGCCCCCAGTAACCAGGGGCATGGGAAACAGAAGACAGCCAGTGTCTTCCCTCTTGTCCTGTGGCTGGGCACCCTGGGGAGGACACGGCCCGACATCCATTCTCATAGCCCTTTCCAGGTTCCCTCACAGCTACTCCACCTCTCCTGGAAGAAGCCCTGTGTCCCAGCAAGGATGTCAGAGGGTGGTTTGCACTCAGTGACAAAGAGGGGACACTTCCAAGGACCCGCCAATGGGAAGATCTGGCAAGAGCTTAGCGACCTGAATCCAGAGTCCCGCAAGCACGGGAGCCATCAAGTAGCCCACATTCCCCCGGTGCCTGTGCATCTGTTTAGCCAGAGCGGGGTTCCAGGGCAGGGAGGCTGGGCTCTGGGCCGAGCTGGGAAGGAGAGGAATGGGTGAGAACCTGGACATCTGGAGCAGTACAAGCGCCTTCCAGCAGCTGTGAAGGGTCTATGTCCTCCTGCAAGTGCCACAAGGCTGGGGAGACACAAATAGTCACAGCCTGGGAGGGGGAGGACGGGCCTGAAGGGCAACCTGACTACGTTCCTGATTGGTGTTCCATGCCCTGTTCCTCCATCTGGTCCTGCTGTGGGACACAGCCGCCAGGTGAGCCCCTCAGAGCGCAGATCTGGCCTCGGCTTTCTCCTGCCTGTACCCTCCAACAGCTGCCCATTGGCCTTGGTACTGCTGAGCCCGCTTCATGCCCTGGCTGCCTCTGCAGCCCCAGTGTCCCTGGATGTGCTGGCTGCAGACCCTGCCCTTGTTCCGTCTCAGCACATGTTCTGGGCAGCTCACTCACTTGGCTTAGATGATGCCACTTCTGGGATGTCCTCCCTGACTGCACCCACCTCCATGATGTTCCCACGGTGTGTGGCACAGCCCTTGTGACTTGTGTCCGACTGCTCAGGTCCTTCCCAGATGTGGTCCTCTAAGTCAGGGATCGCATCCCACTGACCCTTCCTTCATCTACTCTCAGCTAGCTTTCGAGTCCCCGCATTGTGTCAGGTGCTGAGATTCACGGGGGGACAGAAGAGACCGTCTCCACCTCACTGCCTGGCACGGAGTCGACCCTTGGCTGAACAGTCAGTGCAGAGTGCTCCAGGCACTCAGAACAGAGACCAGGCAGGTGGCATGGATGGGGGCCTTGAAGATGAGGCCCGGGGAATGGATACGAGTTCTTAAAGAAAATGCACTGGGGTTCCCCTGCCTGGAGATCCAGAGGCTGTACCCGTGCCTGGGCCCCTGGGGCTTCACTCCCCTTGCCTCACTAGGTCCACTTCTCTTTCAGAATGCATGAACTGCTCCCGGCTCATGGACATGAGCGAGCGGCTGACCACACTGGAGGCCAAGGTGAGACAGTCTGGGGAGTGTGGGGAGTCGGCTAGCACGGGAGTGGGGAGGCTCCGGGCACCTGCTGGGAGATGGTACCAAGCCCATACCTCTCCTGACCCCCACCTGTCCCACCAGTGGGACAAAGGCCATGCGTGTGGCACCTGCAGCATCTGCACCAAAGGGGACAACTGTATGTTCAGAGCCTGGTGCAGGTGCCTCAGAGTAGCTAGCAAGGCCTGGGGTGGGGTGGGCCCTGGGCCCCTGGGCCAAAGCAGCAGCAGGGGCTGAGGCCTCTGGACAGGAAGGGCCCTGGAGAGCTGGCCCTGTGGGCACTGTGTCCACACCCAGAGGAACCTGCAGCATGACACACTCACATGCACCGCACGCACACCTCACGTGACAAACGCACACAGCATTGTTTGCACGCAGACCTACAAACACATGCGTGCATGGGTAGAGTCACACAGATGCTCCGCACAGAGCCCCAGCCGACCCTGCCGCCCTGTGGCCCCATCTTCCTCCCAGAGCTACTCAAGGTTGTGTGGATGAGCTGGCCTTGGCTGGCCTGGCTGGGCATCTGCTGCCACTGTATTCTCTGAAGAGCAGCCCGCAGCGCTGGTCCTCACTCTTCAGTGAATTGCCTTATTTCCTCATGTTGGGTGCCTCCTGGCTGTAAAGTGGGACTTGTAGTTCAGGGCATCACCTCTGTACACTGCGGTAAGCAGCCAAAGGAAGGAAATGGAGGGTGAGGCAAAACCCCCCAGCAGACTCATTCGGTCTCGTGGGCTGGTGCGTATCTGTATGACCACCTCCTAATTGCAAGGGAACTGGGGAATTGGGTACCTGACTTGGGATTCCTGCTGTCCTCTTGTCCCGGGGTGGGTTGGTAGGCAGAGGCCACAGAGTACCAGAATGTTCCCTGCCCTCCCTCTCCTCCACCTCAGTTTACGACTTCATGGACCATAGCCTTGAGCAGCGACTTCCCTGTGTGAAGGTCACAGACATCTCTGAGTCTGGCTGGCTGGCCTTGTGCAGGAGGGTGGGCAGTGGCCTGGCCAGAGCCCAGGCTGCAGTGACGTCATCAGGGCTTAGCCTGCCAAGGCTACAGTCTGTTTTCCTTGGGCCCAGTCCCTGTGTCCCCACCATGTCCTGGCAGCTCAGCGGGTGGCACAGGGAATGTGCATCTCCAGAGCGTGGTCACCTCAGGGCTGGGCAGCCTGGACTCCACAGGGCTGGCTCGAATGTGGCCTGGAGGGGGTTGGGGGGAGCCAGCCAGGCCTTGTGCCGGGCACTGCGCAGGTGGCAGGTGCCATGGGGAGAGAATGTTGTAGCCCCAGAGTGCACAGGCACCCTCTCCCAGGACTGCTGCCACCTCTCTTCTCCAGGTCCTCTCTGATGTCCTGTCTCCCTCCACGCCCCCCTCAGCACCAAACCCCATCAAATATGGCCCCTGGAGGCCCCCAGGGACCCTGCCACACAGCCGTCCCAACTGCACTGGCCCCCTGTGCTCCAAACCTGCCCTCTCCTGTGTCCCTGCCTGGTGGGTGACAATCTTGCTGCCCCTTCATCCCACCCTGTGGCCCAGCCTAGGGTCTCCATCACAAGTACCACAGGTGTCGCCTCCCTCTCTCCTTCCTGCACCAGAGTCCCAACCCTCACCCTGGCCAGTTAGCATCTGAGGTGGGGATCAGTCCCCCACTTCCTGGAAGGGGTGTTAGGGGTCACAGGCTGGGTCCCCCCCTGAGCCGCTCAGTGACTCCGTGCACGCAGCTGAGCAGTGGGGCAGCCTCTCTTAGGGACCTTGGACAAGTCGCTTGCAGTCTCAGCCCTGCCTGTACCTCAGGTGCAATGTGGCCTTGTGACCCTCTGTCTCTTGAGCCTCCTGAGGACCAGGGGGTGGGACGCAGAGGGGGTGGGAGAGGACAGTGTGAGGGGCTTAGCCTGCGCCTGCGCGCCCGGGAAACTGTGCAGCCCCTGCTTGGGCGTTGTGACCGCAGCCGTGAAGCCCCAGCAGCAGTAACAGCAACAACAACAGTAACCCGGTCCCCAGTACCTGGGCTGTGGCCAGGCGACCACCTGCGTCCATCCCGGACTCGCAGCGCCCTCTGTCGGCGTCCTTGGGGGCAGCAGGGACTCGTGGCATGACTGCCGGCTGCGGGCTGCTGGCCCGGCCTGAGGAGAGGCAGCTACCCTGTGTGTTCTGGACAGTCGTGGGGACCACATTCCCTAGGAACCATGAACCCAGCCCCTCTCCCTTTCCTCCTTCCTGTCTGCCCGCCTCCTTCCTACTGGCTTCTTTTCTCCCTCCCTCCTTCTTTACTCCCTTCCTCTTTCTTTTCTTCTCTCCCTCTTTCCATCCATCCAGCCATCCATCCAGCCATCCATCCATCCATTCTCCCATCCACCCCCTGCAAATGTTTCCTAGCCAAGGAAGGAGCTTGTGCCCTGAGCCAGGCAGAGGGGGCAAAACTTCTACTCCACCCCTCCCTTTGGGAGCTGCCTGTGAGGGCAGGCTGTGGCTCAGTCACAGCCGTGGTGATAGGCACAGAAGGTGTTCCTGGGGGAGTGAGGGCTCTGCTGGTGGGGACAAGGGCCTGGCAGGGAGAGCTTCGTGCAGGGAATGGGCCCCCAGGAGCTGGGCATGTCCTGGCTCGGGGCAGGGCCTCACCCCTGGCCCTTCTCTGACCAGGTCCTCCTGCTGGAAGCAACCGAGCAGCCCTTGGGCCCTGACAATGACCTGCCAGCGCCCCAGAGCACACTGCCACCCTGGAATGAGGACTTCCTTCCTGACGCCATCCCCCTGGCCCACCCGGGACCCCGGAGGAGGAGACCCACTGGGCCAGCTGGTGAGCAGGCAAGGGAAGGGTGCCATGTGACCTCCCGGGGCCTTCACAATGGGGCCCCACCCTCTGCCTAATGTTTAAAAATTAGGGATTCATATAAAAATCAGAATTTCTAATTTCTGTTTATAAGATCTACTTATCTAGGGGCTGGAGAGATGGCTCAGTGGTCTAAAGCACCTACTTGAAACAAGCTTGGCAAAGCACAGGGACCTCGGTTCGATCCCTGGCACCACATGCCAGCCAGCCCCACCCGCTGGTGGGCTGAGCTGGCCACACACACAAACACACAATAAATAAATGTAATAAATAAAAATAAATATTAAAAAAAAAAAAGATCTACTTATCTAAGCACCTGCCTGGCAAGCACAAGGTTGAGTTCAATCCCTGGCACAAAAAAAAAAAAAAAATCTACCCATCAGGGTTGGCTGGAATTGATGGATTGTCACTATGAGGTGTGATCGGGTTTTTTTAGAAAATGAATTATAGTGGTAGACAGACCCATTGTTATGAATCCCTCTCAAAATACTAGCTCCGGCTGGGGCGATAGCTCTATAGAATAAGTGCTTGCCTGGCAAGCACAGGGTCCTGAGTTCAATCCCCAATTCTGCAACAACAAAATACTCCCTCCGGGCTTTGAACATGGCCATCCCTTCCTTCTTGCCCCTTCCTGAAGCAGTTCTGCAAGTCCTCTTCCACAAGCGGCTTTAAGTTGTGCTGCCATCGAGCCTGCATGTGCACCAACGCAAAACGTTTCCCTGTCATGGTCACTGTGGCTTTGGGGAAGAGACAGAAGTCACACGTGCCAGCCTGGTGGACAGGGTGGGTGAGGCCATGCCGTCACGGCTTTAGGAGCCCGCCCTTCTGCTGGGTGACACTCGGCCGCAGCATTTGTCATGTTTTTAATCACACCTCATACAGACCTGCCCACAAGAGCATTTCTAGAGCTGCCTCAGGAAGTGGCGACAGGCCAGCAAGAGAGCTCAGCAGACTAAGTGCCTGCTTAGGCAAGCGCAGGGACGGGGGTCCATCTCCAGCACCACATGCCATGCAGGCCCTACCCCCTGGGGTGCCGAGCCAGCCACCAAGACTGGGCGCAGTGGAGCATGTCTGTAATCCCAGCGTGCGGGAGGCTGAAACAGCAGGATCACTATGAGTCCAAGCTGCATAGTGAAACCCTGCACAAGAAAGAAAGAAAGAAAGAAAGAAAGAAAGAAAGAAAGAAAGAAGAAAGAAAAAGAAAGAAAGAGAAAGAAAGAAAGAAAGAAAGAAAGAAAGAAAGAAAGAAAGAAAGAAAGAGGCAGCAACATGGGATAAGTGTGCTTGAAGTGAAAGGGAGGATGCCAAGGGTGATTTGGGGCAATGCGTCTTTTAATAAACTTTTAAATTGAAACATTCTTTGTAGAGTCAGATCACCGGTGTAAGCCACACAGGCAGCTGGGTCCCGCTCAAGCTCAGCAGTCTGCCCCGGTGCCCAGGCCTTCTTGCTGTGCGACAGCCCTGTGTCCAGCTCGGCGCCTTTCCTGGCGTTGCCCAGCTTCATCCTGCAGCCCCCCGCCCCTGCCTGTGTACCCCAAGGCCCTGAGCTTACAGCCCTGCCCGCCCCAAGTCCTCTGCCCCAATGTCTGGGCCATCCGCACTGAGCTCTCAACTACAGCTGGAGGATGTCTAGCTCCTTGTCTTCCTGCCACATGGCAAAGGCAAGAGTGCAGATGTCCTCTGTGGCCGCTGCAGAGGTACACGCCCACCGCCCCAGAGCACAGAGAGGCTGAGACAGGAGGATTGCAAATTCAAGACCAGCCTGGATAACTTAATGATTTAACAAGACCCCACCTCAAAGTTAGAAGAAAATAATAATAAAAAGGGCCAGGGATATAGTGTAGTGCAAAGGCCCTGACTTCAATCCCTAGTGTTAAAAAAA